CCCGTGGACTTGTTTGCCATTACATAAATATCCCTTACCTATCACTAGAGGCTAGTACAATAAGCCTATTTTGGACCACAGTCCCTATGGACTATATTCATTCCATTCATGTAACTAATACTATTCACATATTTCCCTATGTTCACTTATCTCCAGCCTGCTGCTTAACTTCCTCATGGTTCACTGAACAATCAACTGTTCCAAGACCGTATAACTGACCTGGTATTAAACTGACACTACAATGTCATGATAAATGTATTTTCAGGTGCTACACTGGTGTATAGATAATTTGGGTTGAGAAAATCCTCGAAGAGCATAGGATAATACCGAAATACTAAGGAAAAAGATGTTAGGAATATGGGACTCACTGAACAGACTCAAGATGGTTAAATTCTCAGTTTAATATCCACTGTTCTTGTAAAATGGCATCAGCCTGGCTTCAGAAAAAAAAAAGCTACATGGGTCCAAGAATTAAATTTAGGAATGGAATCTATGGTGAAAGAAAGTGAAGGGACACTGTAGCACTACACTTATACACCAAATATATGATGAGAATACTAATACATGTGAACAACAGTTACAAGGTTCAGAAGTGTTAACACATAAAGAAGTTTTGCTGCCTTCATACCTCCTAGATTCACTACAGTATAGTATACATGGGGGTAAAACTGTATGCATGAAATACCTCTGCACTGCTCTACTCATATAAGTAATCAGTTTAATACTTCAGCCAAATTTATCCTCATTTGAGAGGAGGAAGAGAAAGTCCCAGAGATGTAAAGAGAAAAATTATCAGTACCTTTCCTGGGAATTAAGTTTCAGCACCCAGCTCTTGGCCAATAAATGTATAAGGGTGGGCCTCAATAATCCAGCCCTTGCATCAAGGGCTTTGTACAAAATCTTAAATAAGATATGGCCTCACAATTACATAGGCTGTGTGTAAAGCTCTGAACCAATCATTTTGCTGATTTCATTTTAACTCTTTAGGATCACGACAAATTATACTGGCTTTACCAGATGACAAAACTCATTTAACAACATGAAATTTGGAATATAAGACTGCAGGCCAAACAATATCACAAATTTAATTATCAGAAGGCAGTCTTGGTGGATATCCGTAGTTCCAAATTATATTAAATGCAGACACAAACTTAATGGTATGATCTTTGGCTAGAGACTCTCCAAAACATTAAATTCATACAAATATTAATCAGGTGGTCTAGATGCCTTTAGGTACATTCAATACCAGTATCAGGCCCTCCTTTATAAATGGTGAGGGTTATTTAAGGGGACAGAGAAGTACATTTCTGAAGTCTAAGTAAATGCCTGGAGATTGGGCCTAGTAATGAATATTTAAAATCCACCAAGCAAAGCATACGATTTTAAATACTGTGACATGTTGACCCCTACCTCCCCAGCTGCACGTAGCTGCACCCCGCATCCTGGTAGCTATGCAACGTGCGGTGACGTCACGAGCGGAGCCGAAGTGAGCCGATGTTAGCCGAGTCCCCGCAACCTTGAAGCTATGCAAAGTGAGTCAACAGCGGTGACGTCACCGAGGGATATCGCGGTTGCTAGGCAGCAGTCAACAACTCCGGACAGCGTGGCTAGAAACACGGCACCAGACGACAATTGTCCGACCGAGGCTACATAAGGAGCAGCGAAGGCTATCCACAGCCAGTCCTGGAGCTACCGCCGAGTTAGTTCCGAGTTAGCCAGCAACCAGTTGTATTGTGGCATTTGGTGTACTATTTGTGATACTGCAGATAGCAGTAAGCGTAAATCTGTAATTTGGGTGATTGTAAGTGCGAATGTGAAATAAAATTCGCTACATCAAATACCTCGTGAAGTTACTTGTCGCGTCATACCCCCGATACGCGAGAACTGGTGTCAGAAGTGGGATTAGAACTTACACACGTGATCAACGAGATTCGAACTCAAGACATGTGATAATTTGGTGTCAGAATTTTTACGAGCTTAAATACGCCTCAAAGAATAATTAAACGTACGACTGCTTCAACTATTCTACTGCTACAAAATGGAGATGCAGCAGATGTTGGCACTCCTGCAGAAGGAATTGAGGGCCCAGAGAGAAGCTGCCGAGAAAAGGACTGACGACAGGTGGAAAGCCTGGCGAGAAAAGATGGTCGCCATGCGAGAAGAGCTGGTCGCAGAAACGGACACCACCAGAGCAGAAACAAGAGCTATCCAAGAAAGGATGGAAGCCACTCGAACAGAAACAAGAGCTATCCAAGCATGGACGGAAGCCATGCGAGAAATAATGGGCACCAGCCACATGGAGATGGTGTACGCATTTAAACCCGAAAGAGATGTAAAGACGATAGCCTGTCAAGAGATGGAGGCATATCTAGAAGAAGAAAAGCCGGCTTCAGTGCACAGGAAACCTGAGGCGGCAGAACTACTAGAGGTACCCATACAAGACGCCGAAGTAATGCCGGTCGGAGAACCGAAGAAGAAAAGGCGCAGGGACCGACATCGACGAAATATAAAAAATTCGACACGGGAAAACTGTGGACCCCGGATGAAGTTGACTGCCCCCTGCAGGAAGACATCCCGTCGTGCGACAGTGGCACGACATTGGAGAAATGACTTCAAGAAGGAAATTCCCCTGGGAACCTTCGGATGCCAGCGGAAAGAAGTGACCGCCACCGGAATAAAGATCACACGCTGTGTAGGACACAGGCG